CCCCAAAACCCCAAAACCCCAAAACCCCAAAACCCCTGATTTTGGAAAAATTATTGAACTTCCACAAAAATAATGTTTACCAAAAATATGAAGTATAAAGCAGCCATTGTTGGTCTGGCTGCATTTTTATTTACCAGCCCAAAAGTAGGGGAGTATCTTGATTTCCAAAAGAAGTTATTGTCAGCTGATGCATTTAAAGGAAAGTTCAGGTCTGGCTCAACCATAATTCCACACCCAGAAAAAGCTTACAAGGGTGGAGAGGATGCACTTATTGTTAAAGATAGACTTATTGCTGTCGCTGACGGAGTTGGTGGCTGGGCGAGTGAAGGTGTTGACCCAGGACTTTATTCTAAACAATTAGTCAAGTTCATTGGAGAAGAATTTGATAAAAATCCAAATGCAACTCCTAAAGAAATTCTTACTATTGCTAATGACAAGACAACTCATATTGGCACAAGTACATGTGTTATAGCAATTTTGGAGCCACAAAAACAAGCAATTGCTACTACAGTTCTTGGAGATAGCTCATATCTCTTGTTAAGACCTGAAAATGGCACTTTAAAGAAGATATTTAGAAGCAAAGAACAACAGAAGAGCTTCAATTTTCCTTTCCAATGTGGTACAGGAGGAGACCATCCCAGGTTAGCCTTTGATATGCGTCATCAGGTCAAACACAATGATATTATTGTTATGGGAAGTGATGGAGTGTTCGACAACTGATTTGATGAAGAAATCATTGAGATTATCCAAAAAGGTATGTTAAATCTGTCTGTTTCAATGATTCCAGTAAGACTTTATTGTCAAGATTTGATCCTCCTCTTTAGACCATATAACTACTGTTAACAAAAATTTAAAATCACAATAGATTTTCTAAATGCAAAATTTTCTAAACTTATTTTCTCACTTAAAATTTCCCAAAAAATTTCAACATGCTAACCCTAATAACCATTTCCCTCCTTCCGTGACCCCTAAAATTCCTACTCCAAGACTCTCTATCTCCCTAACCCACCCAAAATCCCCACTCTAAAACATCTCCATGCTTAGGCCCTCTTCCAAATCTTTGCTTTCTCAATTCTGCCCTTTCTCTTCTTAATCCCCAAATTTCACACAAATTCTAGACTCTAATTCAAAGCTTGCGCCACTTGAGGCAGACCCCAAACAGTTTTCAGAGAAGATAGCTCAGCTTTCTAGTGCCCATGGGCATGATAGAACCTGGAGATCTCCCTTCCAAGTTGAAGCGGAGAAAGCTTATCGTAGAAGAGTCTTTGCAGGCGGAAAGCTCGATGATGTCTCTGTAATTGTATCCCAGATTAGCCTTGAAGAGTAGCAGAGATTGTGTGGTAAAATGTTTTAGAGATTCAGTATTGTGGGATATCAAGGGGTTTTGGGGTTTTGGGGTTTTGGGGTTTTGGGG